GAAAGTTCTATTCTAACGAGCAAAGGAGTGTTTGCAAAACCTTATGACAACCACGGATTAATGCTGATGCAAAATTCACATATGCTTCCACCAAATCAGGTTCTTGGTCGCATATATACGATGAGTTTATGCCCATCAGTGATGATGCTTGAGTAAATCTCTCAAAAGTGGTGATAAACAAGGATCCGTATTCCTCCTTATGACAAAATTCTTCGGCAATTACACAGGCTGTGGTAACAGATGCGTGAAAAGGAAAATGTCAGAGAACTGGCTGATCAACTAGCTAACCTCGGGTACTATTTACTTAAGCTCGCCAATAAAAACCGTGGCTAATAATTCAAAGCAATCATCCCAAGAGACTTTTCTCCGACAGTCGATCAGGTACCTGAATTATGAAACCCTCACCTGTCCTTATGTAACATTCTTGGCTTTGAAATGACAGAAAGTTTCTCGATAGACAATCCAGTACACTGGGTAATAGCAGCATAAAGTGCTCACCTGAAAATAATGCAAATTTAAGGTGTCAAAATGTCAGGGAAACCTGCTAATGCAAAGATCAATAGGCTTGATTTGGAACCATAGTATTCCAAAATCATATGCATAGTTAGACTCTTAGGGTACGAAAACAGGAAATAAATTTTATATATCCTTGAAAAATTATCCACTAGCGTAAAGAACACTTTGAAACAGCGAAGTGTTCCATGCTCTAAAGCCATAAATGAGACGAATGTAGCTAAATAGAGTAAGGAGATAAGAAGTTTGAAACCTGACGACTGAACTGCTACTGAAAGAGCACGGCATGCTGCTGCAGCTAAACTGCCACTCTCCATGTGTTCAGACCTAAATAGCTTCTCCAAAATGGGCCAGAAAACAGTCAACAACGAAAGGATTGGACCATCTGCCACAGGGACAGATGACAGGGTCGTTGCAAGGTGACTGAATACAGTTCCAATCCTGGATCAATTGAACAAGAGCAAAGTCATCAATACGATATTCTTACCAGCTTTGCACACCTTATAAGAAAATTAACAGAGAGTGCAAGTTACTAAAGATTATAGTTCGGAGTTATGAATTAATGCAGGTCATCAGAAAAAATAATTATGTAATGCAAAATTATAGCAATGCTTTCATACATGAATTGAAATCCCAAGGCCATCAAACAATTCACCAAAAGCTCCTAGAATGCATCTAAGATAATAATACAGCAGTGACAGAAGCAGACCTGTAAAGACCTCTTGTAACAGAGCTTAACATTCGTGTGTAAGTGGCTGGACTCTGTCTACCAGAAGACTCAACTTCATCATCTACCTGAAACCAAAAAAAGGTATTAGTCAAAATTCTATCTCAGATGTGCATCATTTTTCACTGAAGAATAACTCTTTCTGACTGAAGAATATAAACACTTACAAGTTTCGAAAGAACTCCATAACTTGACGAAAGTAATTGAGTTAATAATTTATTTTGGAGTTCCTTGTTAGAAACAGAACCAAGGATCACACTAATAGCACTAATGACTTCTTCCTCCTCTTCCAAGGCCAAATTCCACTGCTCCAAACACTAAGACGGGTAGACGTCTATTGATTCAGTCATTCAGGAGAGACAATTTGAAAGTTGTTTTAACAATTAATGAAAGAGTCAGATGAAGCTGATACCTCTCCTATCCACATCAAGATGTCTAAATTTGATGTTTCCTGGATAACAGCTAGAGCATCTTCACAAATCTTACGCAGAGCAGAGGCACAAGCATGTGAACAAATCGGTTCAGAAATCCCTCCTGCAAGAAACAATCTGAAAGCAGAAAAAAATGCAGTATTTAGATTATCAGACCATTTGATGTTATAAGATATAAACATACACTTCTTACAGAAAACTACCAATCGTAAAAATACAAAATTAGAATAAAAGTTCAAGGTAATTGTTAAGATTGTAACAGAATTATGGTGAATGCATCATTGAAGAGAATACACTTACAGCAAGGGTCTGGCGTTACTTGGGAAAACAGCGATCCATCTTGAATAGGAGCCAACAAAATCTGCCAGTGATCTGTATACCTAAAAGTTGATTATTGCCAAATGTTGATTGCATTGACAGTACAAGAAAATCGTTGGTAAGCCAGAAAATAAGGCAAGAATATGAACTGACATACAACACATATAAACCCCTTGAGCTCGCTGGATGGCCTAACAGAGAATGCAGAAACCAATTGCATGATCAATGAAAAATCAAAAGCTTCTCCCTCTTGCAAGATAATTTCAGAAACCTGTCATGGTAGAATCCTTTAGTAAAAACAAGGATTA